CAAGCATAGTTTTTCAGGCAATTCAAATATACCCTCCAACGTTCCAATTCACACTACCGGGATCGAACACGTCCCAGCGCGTTTCTAATGTTCGGAGAACGTTTTCAAGAGAACAATTGGCGATGGGTGCTTGTCGGCAATCTCATCCCGTCGTTTCTCTCGAAATCTGACGCCACGGATCGCAAGAAAGATCACGAGCAACATTAGACAGGACGAAAGCGACGGGAAAACACGCCCGGCTCATACAATGCAGGCGCGGTCGCGCGCGATGAAAGCGGGGAGATCGCGGACCGCTCGCGCGGAGACGATGCGAAGCCGGAAGTACCTTGTCGATGGAGGCGTGGTGAGAAGGATCGGGTAAGGATCGCTCGAGCGACTCGAGATCGTCGAGAACCTCTTTCAATTCGGCCTCCATTTCCTCGCTCTGAAAATTTGGGGAATTGTAAATTGACGGAGGGTGGACTCTCGCGGCGCTAGAACGATCCCTTCCTTGCCTGCTCTTTATATGCGCGGCACCGGCATGCAAGCCCCTTTTCGTTTCCGGCGGTGCAGAGCTGGACCGAAAGAAAGAAGAAAAGAAAAACAGCAGATCTTCTTACAGTGATGGATGAAAGTGAAGAAGATGACTACGGTCTTCGGCTTGGGTAACGGTTCCATCCCATTCGGACACAGTTCGGGTGCATGAATCCATTACGTGCCCGGAGATATTTCGAACGTAAATAATTTTTTTTATTCTCGCGCTTCGGAAATAATTTCAAAGATTCGAAGCGTTTGATAAACCGTCCAAAATTTCTATTCTTAGAGTAGAAAAAGCAAATGCGCTTTAGAACGACACAAAATTTCGTTCTCAAATAATATTTTAAATTGTTTAATTTTTTTCTTTTTACCCATTTTTTTCTTTGGCCATGGCAGCCGGCCACGCCCCGGGGCGGCGAGGGCGTCACGGCCCTCGCCGGCCGCCGGCGGAGGCGAGGTCGCCTCGCGCTCGGGCGAGGCGACCTCGCCCAGACGGCGAGGCTCGGCCTCGCTCGATGCGGCGAGGCCGCCTCGCCCAGCGGCGAGGGTCCACCCTCGCCTCGCGGCAGAAGGGCGACCCTCGCCCCGCGGCGGCCGGGCCACAGGGAAGAACAACACCACAAAATAAGAAAAGAAAAAAGAAAAAAAAAAAAAACTGATTCTCAAAATACTTGAAACAAAGAAGAACTTTTTTTACTTCTTTCTTCTTCCAAAACTGTTTCTCAGCACAAATTTTTGCAAAAATGTGCCAGAACAAAAAGTTTACCAAACGCATTTCTATTCCCAAACTATTTCGGAACAAAAACGAAATTTTCACTATTTAGACGTTACCAAACGCCCCTTCGCATGGGCTCGCAATCTGTCGGCCTTCCAAGGTTTTGGAAACCCAAATGGATCTGGGCCATGGCATCGGTAATCCAAGGCTATTTCCGTCAAAACGGGTGGGTCGGATCGGGTCGGATAAAAAATGATCCTACCCAAATAGATCATTTAATCTGTTTTGACCGATCTCCATCCAAAGTAAATTTACTGACTCATATCGATCAGACCCATATTGCTAAAACACTTTTATATTTAATCCAATCTAAGAAAATCCGTACCCAAATTAACGTGGGATTGCGGAATGAGTGAACGCAAGATTGAATGAATGCTAGAGCGAATGAAGAGAGAGTCATGAGATGGATTGGGTTTAAGTAATTTGTAAACCCATTTATGACCTAGTTGTAACTCATTTATGATCCATTTAATACTCATATTATATTTAAACCCAATTATGACACATTTACCGAATATAAAACCTATATAACAACTCAGCTCATCATATATGGGTTAAGAAATGAGTTTATGATCCATTTTAATAGGTTTATCCAAGACCTTGCTTGTGGAAATTCACAAGAGAAAAATGGGAGAAAGCTGGAAATGGGTTTGGAAAACGGAAATGACCCCTAGAATTCATTTTGGCTGGCTCTAAAGAAAAATAGCATTACTTCTAGAACAAAGCTCGCAGATAGAGAAATGAACATCAACGCCATCTGCTCTCTGGTGTAACTAGAAAGAAGAGACGCAATGTTCATGTTTCGACAAGCTGCCCTCTTGCCCAGAAAATTCTAACATGATTTGGGGATGCCTAGCTCTCTATGAAGCTATTTTTTGGATAATCTGAAAGATTATATGGACGGTGATGTTACTGCCAAATGCTTGTGCCGAAATCCTAGTATTCCGTGGAAATTCTTGTTCCCAATGGTGATTTGGACACTTTTTGGCTAAATAGAAATAGGAAAAATCTTTGATGAGACAGAAAAGTTGGGAAGTGGATTAGAGGGTCGGGCAGCAATTTTGCTGCTGTAAACCCAGCCGAGGCGCGAGGCGGGACTGGTTCTTGAAAGCCACACTGGAAATCTTGAAATCGAATCTAATGATCAGGTGCTGATAACTGTTGCCATGCGAGATTCGAGTGAAAATTATATGCCGACTCCCATTATATTCCAATGTAGGGCATTGTCACGATGGTTGACACCAATAGTAAGGAATGGGGGACTTTTGATGAAGTTCCTATTGAAATTATGGACTTTTTATGTAGCCAATTTTAAAGGAGTTTGGGTCTCCTCGTAATGTAGCAGTGGATAGGAGCGGAGACAGTGGCTACTCTATTGCTGTACTATTTCTTCTTTGTTCTATCATGGCCGAATCTGAAGTGACTACAGCATTTTGCTAATTCGTTTTCGGCGTATGTTTAATGTTGCACGCCAGAGTTACAATACTTAAACGGTTAAGGTTTTATAAATAGGAAAAATTCTACTTTTCATTCCTATGCTTTTTGATATTTTCTAATCAAGTCATTATACTTTTAAGTTGTATAATCTAGTTCTTTTACTTTTACAACTTTTCTAACCATTTCAGTTGGTACGACCATCAAAGTACGCTGCAAACAAAATATGTGCACACCTACGTAAACATGTATGGAAAAATTTAGCCAATGTAGACATTCGCATTAGAAAAATTTTATCCACCTTGCACTACAACATAGTTCAACTGCCAAGTCAGCTAGATTTGATCAGATTTGGTATAAAAGGAAAGTCACATGGAAAATTTGTGAAATGAGAAGAACTTGATCATATAAATTAAAAGTACACTAATCTGATGTTTTTTTTTTTTTGAAAAAAAGCATAAAAATATGGTGGCGAAAAGGGGACTTTTTCGTTATAAATAAGATTTGGATGCATTAAGGTGAGTTGGTAAGCTCCACGTGAATTTCTCGAAGGACTTCAATTAGACGTGCGGACATTATAAGCGATGCTTACGATATCCGCCGTCCATTGTTGCATGAGCTATACGTGAGAATTTGGGACACATCACTTAGGGGTGAGCGGTTCCCGGTTCGGTCCGATCCAACCAAAAAATCGGGAACCGGACTGGGAGGACCGATTCTCTGTTTCTAGGATCGGGGACCGAACCGGCTAATCTTGGGACCGTAGACCGGTTCCAATAGGATCAATCACTTATTGGTAAAGATAAAAGAGAATTGGAGAAATTAGATTAGGCTTTCTATTTTTTCAAAAAATTTAAAAAGTAAATAAATATATATGAAAAAAATAGAAAAATATATATATATATATATATATTTATCGGTCCGATCCGGTTCCCACCCTAGAACCGGGAACCGGACAACCCGGAAACCGGTTCCACTTTTAGGAACCGGAAACTAGACCGATATTCCCGAGAACCGGACCAAACCGGTCGGTCCAGTCCGGTCACAATTTGGGCGGTCCATTTTGCTCACCCCTAACATCACCAACTCTTGAGTCTTGAGCATGCATGTCCCGTTACTATAACATGGTAAAAGAGTTTCAAATCAATTAAGATGGGTTTATTTCGTGAAAATGAATAATTTAAATTTAAAAAAAAATCGTTTATAAAAATGAACAAATTATTCAAAAATCATTGTTCATAGAAATATTTAGACATAATTTTTTGTTCGATAGTGAAACATTTTGCATTAACTAATTATTTCAAGCGATACAAGCGACTATTTTTAAGAAATTTTGTTTCGCGGAAAATATTCTTCTCAATTTTTGACGTTTGGTTCGCTTACGAAAATGAATCAACAGAAAATGTTTTATGAGTCGGAGAACTCATATTTAAATTCAAGAAAATGATTTTCTTTTTGAAAAATTGAAAAACATTTTCCAAATATATGATTAGATATAAGCGCTTGGACGCGAAACTTTATCTTGAGCATGAAAGCCCTAACATTGGTTCTCGGGTCTCCATGTTCAGACCAGGTCTCTGGCATCCAAGCTTGGGCCCAAAGCCCTGGTGCTTGTGAGTTGTGAGTCGTGACCAATGCTCGACACCCATCCGGGGTGCATAAAAGCCGTGATCGGCCCCCGATGCTCGAGCTCTGGTTCTTGGCACGGGTCCACAAATGCCATGCTTGGGTCCTTGGTGCTCAAGTCCTTAGTTAATGAAAAGTCCATTCTAAACAAATTTTTTGTTGAATTTTGAATTATTATTCTTTTATTTCCTTTTCTTTTTCCTTATTTCTCGACCGATCGCCAGCCACGACAACGGTCACAGGCGAGGTCAAGCCTCATTGCCGCCGACTACCGCCATGGTGAGGAAGAAGGAAAAAGAAAAAGAAAGAAAAGGAAAAAACTTACAAACTAAAAAAACCAAAATATTTTTTTAATTCATTTTCAGGTCCGTCCAAATACCAGAAAAATATTATCATTTTTCTAAATAATGAAAAACGTCACATTTTCTGCAAAAATGTTCATAGAATGGTCAAGTAAGAAGAAGATGATGAATACGGCCTTCGGATTTGGTAACGGGAATTAATTCGGACAATTTTGTACATCCCCTGGAGTATGCCCCAGCACAACCAGCACCCAGACTCAGAATTTCGTGTATCCGCGCCTGTATCATACGAGGTACATGTCCGCATAACATCCCGATACTCGCTTACCTCGTATTCCAATCCTAATGCAACCTGTCCCGTCTCGCCTCGTCCCGGTCGCCCTGCACCTCAGCTTGAGCTCAGCCGGTCGAAGATGCCGAACCCGGCACCGCCGGCGGGAGCCCTAGGCGAGGACGAACGCGATCCCGTCCCCAGCCAGGCGACCGACCAGACCCAAGAATGGGAGGTCATGGCGGGAGCTTGGCTGCGGGCCTTCCCGGAGGCGAAAGAAGTGACGGCCACCGAGGTCGAGGCTTGGATCGACGTGAACCACGTCTCCCTCCCGTCGGAGCTCAAGTCCATGGAGAGGTCCGAGCTCATCGAGCGCCTCCTCTCCATCCAGAACATCCTCCGATTGCCCGCCCAGATCCATGGCGAGGTAAGCTCCCCTTTTTGAGCTCGAGCTGTTTCGCCCGATGTTGTCGTGCTCTTGGTTGGAACTTGTTCCGCGCGGCGGGAAAAGGTCTCGCCTTTCCCTTTTGTACGCGAGAGAATCGGCTCGGGATTGACGGGTGCTTGCTTGCTGGCTGGTCGGATTGCGTTCGCGATTTCAGGGATTCGATTTCGAATGCGTATCGGTTATTACTTATAGGAGGAGAAAATAAATGAGGGGATGGAAACGAGAGGATGTTCGATTAAGTGCTAATTAAGTGCCTCTTTATTGTGTTTGAAACGGAAGGCATATGCCAAAGTGTTTGCCAGCAACGCCTGTCAGCTGCAAGTGCAGGCTGAGGTACAGAGCAGTTGAAATGTTTTTGGAGTTTTGAGTTTATCAGGCCATTGTCAGAAGGAAGTTTAGTTCATGGAGAACTGTGAGATGAGTGCGTGCACACGAAAAGAAGAAAAGGAAGAAAAGCCGGAAGAGAGTTTATGCGGGGTTATCGGAGTTGAGTAGAGGTTAGATTTGTTGCTCAGGTTGAATTGTGTAGAAGCGTGTTATAATGATTGGAGTATAGGGGACCTGTTGTGGGGAGTAGTCCCCAAACTTCTTTGCAGTTTCGGGATACAAATTTTAATTTGAAAAAAGAGGGGGTTTCAATGGGTTAAAGCATCACATGTTTCTTTCAAAAAATAAAAACAAGCACCATGAAATGTTGTCAGTAGATGGTTCCATTCTACTATACTTTCCAAAATTTGTTGCCGGGAGCCTTGAAATGACTGGAAAGTATGTCCTTAATTATCCAGAGGAGTGCGCCCACTCAGTGTATGTATGGTTGAAAAGCATAGATTTGAATTGTAATCAATTGATTTAGAGCATGTAAACAAGCTGCCGAAACGTTTCAATTCACGCTATGTTTACTTGATTGACTCTATGGCTTATTCTTAATTGCCTTTAATCATCCGATATGCTCATTCGGATGATGCGTGTAGCTAGAGATGGGAACTGTGTTCTTTCTGTATGCTGACTATTACGGATGCTCCAGCTTAAAATGCTTTCAATAAAATGATCACATTGGATCTGCCAAAAGATATCTTTATTGGGCTTACGGGTTTTAAAATCGTGATTGAGATTAAAAAAGAAAAGATGGAGTGATGTTATATTTCCGCACAAATTCTGTTTGCTAGACTTTAATGAAATTAGTAGCATGACAAAATCACTTGCGGTGCTAGCTCATTTCATAATCGCGACACTAAATGCTGGGATCTCGTCAGATATCAAGATTTGGATTTCGTTTTGGCGATGTTGTGGAGTTGTCCTTATAGTGAGTGATTGATTGTGGAGGAGATGTTATTATTAAATGTTCCGGATTCTCTATTAATGAAGGATCCCTTTTGGATTCAGTAGCATATATCACGTCTGATAATGAACTTATATAGCCACACGAGTGCATGAATCATAGGTTAGGTATCATTCTCCTATCAACTAGTACTGAAAGGAGTAAAAGAGTAATGGCAAAGCTGGTGCAGGTCTTTCAATCGTGCTATGATCAATTTCTTTTCAGGAAGTCCAGGAAACTTACTCTTTTGATTGACTTTATATTGCATGGATTTTGGTTTTTACTTCTGAAGATTGCCATGTCTATTTACTGGGCACTGAGTGGTAATTCATGCGAATTCACGGTATTTTTTCTTATAGCAGGAAAAGGAAACAACTCATATGAATTATCCACCAGCTCGGTTTCAACGTACCGATCAATGGATACCGGTTTATTCCTGGTTGGAATCACTGGACCAGGATGACGTAGTTAAATCCAAGGATATATCTGACTGGCTAACTGACAACCCAGAGATCAGAGAACAGCTTTGCTCCAGACATTCTCGATATCATTTGACGCACTACATCAAAAAATGCCATATGAAGATACTAAAGAGACGGGACAAACAGAAGGTATTGCTTCTAAGTATCTTACAATTCACCGATAATATCACTGTGGGCATCCTCTCTCCATATTTCTTTGTAGTTTCTGTTTTTTTTCCATCTCCTTCACACGATTCCGCAAATTTTACCAAAAGTTTATCTTTTGGCATTCATAGACCCGATGATTGTGTTCGTTTTTAACTCTATTGCATAATGGCTTTGCTTTTACAGCTGCTTCCTCAAGCTCCTTCTATTAATGCTAGCAAAAACGCAGTTCAGAAGCAAGCAATGCAACTTCCATGTATGATTTTCTGTTCTCATCTCCGGCTTTTTGAGCACGAAGGCATAGTTTCCGGCAATAGAAAACTTTCAGTACCATGGGCTGGTGGTGAACCCAACCCCCCAAACGTGAAATTCTCCGTCCGCCGTATCACTTTGCACTTTTACACAGAATCCTATTTTTGAGAATGAATTAACACGAGAGGAAGACAAGTGGGCAGTTAGATTTTTCTTCAAAATCGAAAGGATTTACTAAGTTCTGGATGATTGAGTCTGATTTTATTTGTGAAGAATTGTCAAAGATGCAAAATTACCGTCTTTCCTTGCATATTTACTGCTTTTTGCATGATGCAGTTGCTAATCAACCTAGGAAAGTGCATCTAGATGATGCTCGCTTTCTTTATAATGCTAGCGAGCAACCAATAAAGTTTTTTTTATTGATCAACGGGTGAAGGCTTTTTTCTGTTGGTGGTGCAATTTTTTTCCCGCATGCTGCTTATTTTACTGCTTCGCTTGTTTTAGCTTCCAATTAATGATCTCTCGCTTCTTTTCCCCTGTTCTCATTGATTGACAGCCAATCCTTTGAACAACATACCAAGAGATAGTGATCTTTACATGGCAAAACGAAATGAAGCATTTCAGAAGTACGAAATGTGAGTGACTCAAGTTTGTTCTACCGTATTTCAGTTTGACTGTTTAATGTCGTTTGGTGATCTGTTTTCTGAATGATGCTTCAGTTTGGTTGCACTGGAAAAGCAATTGTCAACCCTCTTTCCGAAGCCTCAAGTCGTAAACAAGTGAACCGCGTGGAGCTCAAGTCAGTTTGTATATGCACTTAGCAAGGGTGAATTGTTGTGTTTCCTGCTGGTTTTAGGTGCATGCACAGGAGTGGAACAACAGGAGTTTTATCTCTGGGCACGGTGCCTTTGTGAATAATCTCTCTCCTTTAGTTTGTTGCGTGATGAATGATTTTGTTTTTGCAAAGCTTTGCTGCCTGCACAGAAGAATGGTTAGCTGCTGATATTCATCTGGTGTAAAAATTGTAATAGAGATTTCGATGATGGCCGTGGAATAGAGTAGGAATGGCCAAGTAAGACTTCTAGAGAAGCTGGCATGTAGCATTTCTTTGCTGTTTTTCATATCAAAATTTCAGAAAATGATGTACTGGTCCATGATTAAGATTATGCTTTGCTAAGCCAATTGATCATGGCAGGGTATTTCGAGGAACAATTAGGAGGTCACTATAAGTCCCTGTTGAAGCTTGAAGAGTGTTGAATTTTTCTTTTCCCTTCCGTTTGTTGGGATGAATGCGTGCGTTGTGCCATTGTATTTGTAATGGCTTTGGTCATCATCAAACAACTTCAATCCTACCTAATACAATAGGTTGACAGTAAAACAGTAATATATTTCACGGCGGCGATAAGAGTCTTCCCTAGTCGCGATACTTTGGCAATCAGGAGTTAACAATTACGGGAAGGACGACAAAAATTTGCATAGGTTGAATCTATGTTACTTGAAGAGCGGCGTAAGATTCTGCAACTTTTATATGCGAAATGAATTGCTCACTGTCCATGTTAAATAGAAGAAAGAAAGATCAATGTTGCTTCTACTTGTACGGTTTCTTCTCTCCTCTCTTTTGGCTTCAAAAATGATTCTCGTGGACAGATGATTCTTTGGCTCCTTTCGCTGCGCATCAGGTTTTCTTTTATGATCCATACGATGTAAATAAAGGGTTTGCTCCTCGGTGCAGCAAATTGGATGTATTTTGTTGTTAATAAGATGTTCGAGTCGAGCATAGGAGGATTTTAGTAAACGTACATGTGAAATTTTGTAGGATCACAAATCACCGTTTTAAAAATCTAAGTCATTAGTAAACTGCTGATTTATAAGATTCAGTATACTTATTCATATGACAGATTTTAATTGGACAAACTTTAACCCGCTTATTGAAATATTAAGAGAAAGTTGCGATTGACAGTTTGACTTGCATGTGGCCAGGTAAGCTGAGATCTCTTATTGGATGCTCCTGCTCCGCTGCATGCGAATCCAACTCACCTATGGCGCTAAACCAGAAGAGTTCTAGGACGGATCATCTTGGGACTCACATGCCCCGGATGCACTTCACCATCTTCCACCAGACCGAAGGGTGAAGGACAACGGTCATCTGTCATTTTCGTCACAGCTACTGCGGGCTCAGCGGGAAAACAGGGTCAACCATGGCCGGCAAATTCCCCCCCAAGAATCCTCATGACGTTGGACAAATTTCATCACAGACAATCATCTTCCTCCTGCCGCTTCATGCGATACAGAGATGGCTAAGTCACCGCTGCTTCTCGGTGGCTCCTCGTTATCGCTGGCGGCGGTCTTACTTGTGCTTAGCGTTCGGATCGCGAGCGTTGTGGGTGGAAAGCAGCCGCTCTCCAAGATAGCGATCCACAACGCCGTTCATGCGCTTCATGAGAATGCTTCCATCAGAGCTCACGCTCTTGTTCTTGGACTCGAGGTACTTGGTTTTCTTTGTTCCCTTCTTTCTCTCCCACTCCATGTTCCATCGTTCTTAGTTTCATCTTCTTCTTCTTCCCTGCTTTTGACTTCTCTTCTCTATGCGTTTCAACTTCTTCTCTTCGTTTGTGGCTAATAATATCCAAACTGCAAGTGGGTCACGTTCTGGTCCGCTCACAGCCAAACAAGAAAGATTTGGGTGCTTGCACTTGTCTTAAATATATGAGTAGAGAATGGTAGATTTGTAAATTGTATCCGGCCTTGAAGGGAACCGTTGTTACTCGCTTCGCAGAACACGTTTTAAGTCCATTTTAATGGTAATTCTGTAGGGCAACATGGAGTATAGGTGTTTTGATTGTAAGAGAGAAAGCTCTTTTGTAAATAACTACAATCACTGGTTCTCAGAAAAAAAAAAACATATAAAGAAGGTGCAGATTTCGGATCAGAAGAAAGGATAAATTAATACTCGTTTGATTAACTTGAGATCATCAATTCAAAGTCGCGTTATTTTATCTTAATTTGACTGGTGCTGATAATGCATATCGACCACATCCAGAAACCTCTTTATAATAGGCTGATGACTGATCCAGGCAAAGTCCAACTTGTCAGATCAGTCTGATTCACAACCTGTATATGGTGGCTAGATTGAATAAATACAATTCATCTAATATGACTTCGTCACCAGTCGCAGTCCTTGTTCAATTGCTTGGTCGTGCTTTAATTTCCGGGTAAAATAGTGAGCAAAACCTTACATCATAATGTTTATATCTGCGCGGGTGCATGTGTAGGGGGAAGATACTGAGCTGGTTGTCGTGGACTTTGAAAGCCCCGGACCTGCAGAAGATGACTGGGTTGCGGTTTTTTCTCCTGCAAACTTCAAGTAACCTCCAGCCTCCTACACCCTTCTTATTCTGTATATCTACATTATCTCTAGCCGTATGCATCGTAGAAGTCTCCAGAAATCTAATTTATTCAATCAAATATCAGTTTAGCTTGATGAGAAAATTGGGAAACTGTACATAGATGAGTAAGCATTGCGACTGGTTGCTTCCCTCCACTATTCATTGCTTGGCCAATAAGATTCTGCTCTAATGTTTCAGCTCCTCTACCTGTCGTCCTAATGATCCAAGGCAGCGAGGACCTTTTATATGCTCAGCTCCCATTAAGGTAAAGATCGATCCACCCATGCAAGTTCTGAATTTTTCATTACTGAAATACTGTCAACCAATTCTGACCTTGGTTATGCTTATTCGTGTTGCATTTGACGCCCATTTCAGTATAAGTTTGCCAATGAATCCAGCTCTGACTATACAAAGACGGGGAATGCTTCTTTGGAGTTTCAACTGATAAATCAGAGATCAGACTTCTCATTCGCGCTCTTCTCGGGCGGGCTGTCAAATGTACTTTCTACCTGCTTCTCAGTTTCTTGATAGTCGATCTCGTCCAAAATAAGGATTTAGTATATTTTTGGAGCACTTAGATTTTGACGTCTCAATTGTTATTTTACACCTTTTACATGGAAACTTGGGCTTTGATCAACCGTGCATAATTCTTGCAGCCGAAACTTGTGGCAGTTTCAAATATCATTAACTTTGCAAATCCAAAGGCACCCCTTTATCCACGTCTTTCTCAAGGGAAGTCTTGGGATGAAGTAAGTTCTCTCAGTGCATCGTTTTCTTTTTCTCTTCAGGTTTTCTCTACAATCACTCGGTGCAAGCTAAAATCTTTCCATATGCTTATCCAAATTAAAGTGCACCAATCTGAAGGTTTTAGAATGATTCAGAATTTCGTGTTAGCATTCCCAGTTATTAAGCCTTGTCATATCTCTCAGTTATAATGGTTGTGATAATTTTCTTGACGATATGTTCTCTGGTCTGAGATGCTTATCTAGATGGCAATATAGTGCAATAGTACAGAAGTAATTGTCTATTCTACATGCCGAAAATATGACAATGGTGATATAAATTGCTTTGACGTGAAACACAGATGACAGTTACCTGGACTAGTGGCTATAACATTGATGAAGCGACTCCTTTTGTTGAGTGGGGTGTTGAGGAAGAAACCCAGACTAGATCGCCAGCTGGAACATTGACATTTCAACAAAATAGCATGTGTGGTATGATCTTTTTGTACGCCAAGGTGTATACTCTTTGACAGCTAGTTGTGCTTTGGCATTACTTCTTTCGAATTCCCATCGTTGTCACCAGGACATTTAACGATATTTTGCTGTGAAGTGCTTAAACAGTTGTTGCCAAATATATGCCCTTGCTGTGAGTCTACAATCTTTAGGTCTAGAACTGCAGGTTCCAGGCCAAATGGTGCATGGCAATGGCTGAATATAAATCCCAAACTATAGGACCATCATCTCCGATCTTAAACTAACACATCATGGTGCTCGGGAAATCTTGTTGTTTGCAGGTCCACCTGCACGAACGATAGGGTGGCGAGATCCAGGTTTCATACATACAAGTTTCCTAAAGGATCTGTGGCCTAATGCAGAGTATTGCTATGGACTAATACATACATGTCATGAGTTTTGCCACATAAGCAGGTTTACCATAGACGTTTTCTTGATTTGATGTTCCAGGTACACATATAGGCTTGGCCACAGATTAGCTAACAATTCATATGTTTGGAGCAAGGTATACTCCTTCAAATCATCTCCATATCCAGGACAAGATTCATTGCAGCGGGCCGTAATATTTGGTGACATGGGAAAGGTAAAAGCAGCATAACTCAGGAAGGACAATGTCATGCGTTAGTCTTTTCTTGATTATTAAAGAGCTTCAAGATTCACTTCATGCTGATGTTCAACTTCTTTTTTAGGAAACAGTGTTGGACAAAGTTTTCGATTTGGTTGTCATATATGATGAAGTGTCTCTCTTTCTTCATATAGTGTAAAGTCTCATAGTTTGATTGAATAAGATTTGACAAGAAAATCACATGCCATATAGCCCAGCATAAGCAAGTTTCACAGATGCATTATGCTTTTCACAAACTTTAAGGTTTTGCCTTCTGTTCATGTGCAAGCGCCAGCACTTTATACAATCAGCCCAATCTGGTTCAATTTGCGTGCTTTTGACATTATCTACTTATCTGAACATGGTTGAATGTTTCCCTTTTCTATTTTGGAACTTCACGTGGATGGATTGCAGGCAGAGCGTGACGGGTCAAACAAGTACAATAACTATCAGCCAGGCTCGTTAAACACGACAGATCAGCTCATCAAGGATTTAGACAACATAGATATAGTGTTTCACATAGGAGTTATAACATATGCAAATGGATATATTTCATAGTGGGATCAGTTCACATCTATGATCGAGCCCATTGCATCGACTGTCCCTTACATGATTGCAAGGTATACATTAGATGTGTAAATTAGCAAACGACTTCCTAACCTATATATAATACTGGAGTTTGGATGCAGTGGGAATCATGAGCGTGACACTCTAGGCACGGGATCATTTTACGATACCAATGATTCAGGCGGTGAATGTGGTGTCCTAGCAGAGACCATGTTCTATGTCCCTGCGGAAAATAGAGCAAAATTTTGGTAAGTGGTTGGTGCTACTGTAATTTATGAGGAAACACATGCTGTGTAGTCCTTAAGAGGACAGTCAACTAAGTAAAAGAGTCAAGAAGTTTTTAGGAATCAATTAAATTATTAGGAATACCTGTAGAATTCCCATTCTCAAAACAAATTCACATGAAAGAATCAGCGAAATGCCTCTTCAAATCTATTCCTGCAATGGTT